ACCCGTCTCGGCTCTGGTATGAGATTCGCCTGTCACGGAGGTAATCGGCCAGTACCCTACAGAGGTATCCCGGCATCCGGTGATACCGAAGCGCCTCTAAAATTACGCTCCAGGGCAAGGTGTTGAACGCGTTCGCGATGTCCAAGGACACCGCGAATACCACCTCACCCTGGGCGACGGCAGCATCAGTTATCCCCTTGACCCTCTTCAGGGCATGTATGGTCGACCGACCGCTCCTGAAGCCATACTGGTTGGCATTCAGGTCTGGGCCCACTGTCGCCAAATGCCTCTGCATCCGGTTGACGATCACCTTTTCAAAAATCTTGGCCGCTTCGTCCAATAGGATGATCGGCCTGTACCCCTCAGGTGATTCCGGCGGGCGGCCCTCCTTCCTCAATAGGACCAGCGTACCCTCCTTCCAATGCAGGGGAAAGCGGCCCTGAACCAGGCATTCGTCCAGGAGTGCGACCACTTCCTCCTCATAGACAAAACGCCAACAAATACGCTTAAAAAAAAAAAAAAAAAAAAAAAAAAAACCCGCTGACGGCACTCTCCAACAGATGGTTATGTGAGTGGTCGATATGAATCCAACATGTCAGTACGAACATTCTCTTGCTAATTTTTGTGGTATAGTCGAAATAAGTAAATAAATAAATACGTTTAATTGCCTTCATATTGTTTTTTTTTTTTTTATTTAGTAGGGGGGGGCAATCGAGCAACAAATCGCCTAAATTCATTTGTTTGTCATCTTTATAGACAATAAATGCGTTCATCAATAATTAATGTCGTTTCTTCTCAATTAGTGAAGTTGGCAAATCGCGCGAATGTACTGCAACTTAGAAGAAAGAGGGCGTTAGGTGTCTTCTACATCCGTACGCTATTATTCACGAATGAATGTTTTAATTCAATGTAATTTAATTTAACACAATATCACTTTCACTTATGTCATTTAGATTATAGTTAATCTTGTAGAGTGCAATTATTATTATAATAATTATGTTGTATAGTATAGAATAGGTATAGAAAATATGTATGCTTAGATTTAACTACAGTATTAAGTTAGTTACTAGGAGCACCGTGCCCAGGCAGCATTCAGACAATAGTATCAAATCGCTTAAGAAGGATGTCTAAGCGTAATTCGATTATATTACGTCAGAGGGCGCCACTAAAAAAAAAGTACAAAGTTACTGGCACACAGTGGCGCCGTGATATTTTATTTCTTTATTTTATCGAGTGTGTTTTGTTATTTTTTCAGTGTGTAAAAACGAGTGAGTAACAATGAACAGAGAATAGTGTGTTGTCCTTATTAATTATATTTGTTAAGTCGTAGTGTGTTGTATATATGTTTTGTTAAGTTATCATCATAATTCTATAATAAACATTAAGTGAAGAGAACGATGCTTTTATTTTGAACAAAGACTGCTGTCTGGGCCCTTCGAATCATGTTAAATGCAGTGTAGCGAATAAGGACAACAAATAAAAAAAAAAAAATACTCCCGAAAAAAAAAGTTTTATTTTTCATTGACTACATATTTGTAACCCAAACCAATGTCCTATTTTGAGTCAAAAAAAAAAAATTGGTCATGGTAGTTATGACAGCGCAAGTGCGAAGCCGATAACGTGACGAGTTATTATATTTATGACGTGTGGCATCACGGGGCGGCCACGTCAGCACAGAGCCGCCACATAGGAGGCGCGAGCCGCGACAATCGACGCTAGACGTCCTTGCCCACAACCCGTCTTGCTCGGCTCTATTTCCGTAAATATTTCACTAAATGTTTTTTCCGTGACTCCGTGGAATTTAAGATTAAAAAAAAAAAAAGGATACACGTTAAATTTTAAATATCGACATCGATTGTGCAAGTGGATACAAAAATGTGTTCAAATATTGTATTGATATTCGACTTTTCAAGCCCCCTAATGACTTCATTCTATCGGTTTGTTCCGTACAATATTTGTATCTTATACCGACAAATATGTTGATATTAGAGGACTTACTCATTCATAATTGATAATGAGACTCAATTGCTAATAATAGATTCTATTATAAAATATGTACAATATGGCCTAGTCACCCTTAACTTAGGGTAGGCTCCGAGCCCCTCGGTGGGGACCTATAGTGAGCTGATGATGACGATGATGATGATTCTAAAACCAAAATATGTCTAAATCGTACCCGCAGATAGAAAGATGCTTGAAGAGAGCTTCGATCCCCATGTGGTGCACTCGCTTCGCGCGCACCGTGGCGAAGTCACATGTGTAGACGTGAGCGGCGCGCTTTTGGCCACGGGCGGCGGCGAGGGCGCGCTGCAGCTATGGCGCTGGCGAAAAGGCGCAGGCTGGCTTGTGGCAGCTAGCGCTCCACGCGCGCATCGTTTCGGTGTAACGGCAGCGCGCTGGACGTCCAGCGGCGCGCTCCTCGCCTCCGCAGGCGTCGACGGTGCTGCGGGGATTTGGACAAGGGCGCTGAGGCCGTGGCGCGTGCTGGCTGCTCCCGGAGCAGCTGCCGCACGAGCGCTGTGCTGGGCGGGCGCGCGGCTCCTCGTAGGGCACGACGATGGCGCGCTGTGCGTTTGGGCGTCGCGTCGGGGCACCCTGCTCGTGCGTCTGAGGCCGTGCGAGAGCGCGCTGCATGCGCTAGCCGCGCTGCCCCCGGCTGGTCTGCTGCTCGTCGCCTGTACTACTGGCACCCTTAAATTCTTCGATCTCGGCGGTAATAATCCAAATTCTGATTATTATTTATGGGCTTTTATTTTGTCTTTTTATTTTGGAATAAACTCTGGCATATTAAGCATTATCATGCAGAGCTATTAAATAAACGATGCTTCTGTTTCGAAAGTCCATATCGTATTTCAAATCAGAAAAAAAAAACATAATAATATGTAATGTTTGTCAAATAAAAGGCGTGACTAAAGAATTAGGCGTCCGATTTTCAGATGTATACGCGTGCGATGCAGCGGGACACGAGCCACCGGTGTTGCTCTGGGAGGATGGTGCGCACGACCTCGGCGCGTTATGTGCAGCGGGCAGCGCGTGCGGACATGCGGCGGCTTCGGGCGGGCACGACGCACGCGTTCGTCTGTGGCACGCGAGTGTAACGACGGGCGGGCGGAGGATACGCGCAGGCGGCGTGCTGTGCGGCCACGCGGCCGCGGTAACGGCGCTGGCGTTTGCGGGCGGTACTCGGCTTCTGGTCAGCGCCTCGCTTGACAGCACGGCCCGTCTGTGGGCGTGCAAGACCCTCACCTGCCTTCGCGTTCTGCACGCCCATTCGCGATATCTCACGTGCATCGCAGTGCCGCCTGACTTTCGGTACCTTATTACAGGTGACTTTCGACTAACTCGGGTAACTCTTACATAAGATAGATATAATAAGAGATGACAAACAGATGATATAACATGACAGACTATATAGTGATGTATGTACAGGGTCCAACGACCGCACGGTGCGCACCTGGTCGCTGGGCACGCTCGACCTCGACGATGAAGTGGCCCCACCCTGCGCGCTGCTCTCACACTTCGGCCTCGGTGATCTGAAGGTATGGTAGATGTTAAGTCTGCTATTATTTTTATAATTTAATATATGTACGATCCAATTCAAAGGTTGTGGCATATGGTTTGCAATTCTGATGCATCTTGAGATTCAGATCATATTTCTGGGTAAACACAAATTCAGGTGTGGGCGGACTTAAAGCTATACAGGAATGGGTAATACTCGCCAGCATCTGGCGATGAGTCGCAAACTGTTTGGTTTTAGTCTTATGATATTAAATATGAAAGATGCTCAGGGTATTGAACCGATGCTAGACGAGGAGCTGGCCGAAGACTGCAGTGCGGAGGAATGCGCGAGGTCCGGGGTGGAGGGCGCTCCTCCGAAAAGGCTGTGGGTCTCGGAAAAGACACACGTTGGCGCAATAAATTCCATTGTTACCTACAAAGACCTACTCGTCACCGCATGCAGGTTTGATAGGAATTTAAACTAGTAATGTGTCAGATTATCGTTTTTTTTTTAAATAATTAGAACTAGCATCTTGACTTGGTTTCGACCGCGTGGAAAAGCATATGCGTCTATAGTTCTATCGTACCAGCAGTAACCTTGCAAGTCCTAACGAGAAACGAAGTTTTCGAATGTGCTAATTAGTTGTGATATGATAACTTCTAAACACTTTGTCTGAATGAAATAGAACAGTTTGCAATTTTAATTCGATTAAAATGCTCCTGATATCTAAAATATCTATTTGAAAAAAAAAATTGCTATTTAAATCGAAACAATAGCATAACAAATAACGTGCGATATTTGATTGCTTAGAGATATAATGACTTTATCGCAGCATTTTTTGAGATCTTCAATTCTCTCATACATAATTTTACATAACTCTACTGGTTTACCTTACGTAAGCCAAAAAAGGCAAATTTAAAGGCGTGTGCAGCGACGGCGGTGTAAGGGTGTTCCGCTGGAGCGCAAGACGCGGCGAGCTGGCTTGCGAGCGCACCTTACTTGCTCACCGATTTCCGGCCGCGGCTGCTGACCTGACGGTCATGGGCGACGCCGACATACTGCTGCTCAGCGCAGGCCTCGACGGCCGTGCACTGCTCTGGGACCTCCAGGTATACTTCTCCTTACATCGTATCAATGGACACAATGTGCGCCTGCGACTTTTTTTTTGCCACGAAATACTTACAATGGCAATGTGAAGCATATTGTAAATTGACAGAGTAGCAAATTGAACTATGAACTAAAAGATGATCCATCAAATTACCCATGAGTAACATGACTGTAGTCTGGCTGCGAGCTGTGGTCAGTGTCAACGGGGAGCGCAGGGGGCGTGACTGGAGTGACAGGCGCCGGGGGTGGCGTGCGTGGCGCGCGGCTTTCTCCGCACCGGCCACCGCTCTTGCTGCTAGCGATGGACGACGGAGCGCTCGCCGTTTGGACCACACAGCAATCTCACACTGAACCTATTCAGTAAAAGACGTCAAGTTTTTGGACTTTCATTAAGATAAGGTCTTCATAAAGTATGATCTTTTACAGAGATTGTATGTGCAGAGGTATAATTGTGTAATGCAGCGAGTACGAGTCATTCGCCGAAGCGGCGACTTGTTGCGCGTGGTCAGCCGAGGGGCGCGTGTGTGCAGCGGGCGCCGCGGGGGGAGAGCTGCGCGTGTTGGGCCCGCCGCCCACAGCCGCCACGTTGTACGCGCAGCGAGATGCGCACGACCTTGGTACTGCTCTATTCAACCTTCTTGATTCTATAGGAACCAATGCAGATCGTTCCTTTCCGGCCTTCAGGAGACGCGCGCGCGAACTGTTTACTTAATGTCAATGTATTCCTAGAACTCCACTGCAGTGGAACTTCTTAGCATACCGTTCATTGTCTATGTTTAAACATAAACAACAATATGTATTAACGTGAGCGTCACAATTTTGGCATGGTCCGGCCGTCATACCCGGCATTGTATTCGTAAAAGTAGAGACGGCTGTATGTTTTAATACAAGTGTCAGGGCAACGTTTGCCATGTATTCACAGGTGTACTCTGCTTAGATTTTGCTCCGATGCAAAACAAAGATGACTCGAAATATCTAATGGCGTCCGCCGGACGCGATACGTTGGTGAAAATCTGGGAGATTGGCTTCGAGATGCGTTCCGGGCTGGCACGTATCAACGTGCGGCTCTTGCACCGCGTGGAGGCGCACGGTGGGTCAGTGGAGTGCTTGCGGTGGGCGACTGCGGGCGGCGCGCAGCTTGCCACTTGTGGCGCAGATGGCTGGGCGCGCGTGTGGCGCCTTGCGCCGGGTGGAGACGTGCGACTGGTGGTAGCCGTGCCAACGGGCGGCGCAAGTGGCGCGGTCGGGGCGACGGCCGCGGCCATGCTGAGCACGTCACTGCTGGCCGTTGGCTCGTTGACGGGCGAGCTGGCAGTGTGGCGCGTGCCGTCTCCGCCCGGCGACGCCGACGAGGACGACGAACCGGAGCCGCGTATGTGGGGGCCGAATGACGTCTTGCGCTGGCTGCGCGACTACGTCACTCGTGTTCCAGGTGACGAACTGATACGACCGCGATTGACATAAACTCTAGGCAGCTGTGGTGCACCGGCTCACATCGATCGACAGATAAACACTGCTGGCAATAGGTTTAAAGTAAATGCATGTTGTCCAAAGATTCCGTGAGCGAACAAGGCAGCGGGGAGGCGCGTGGGGTTGCGAGCGTGGAGGCGGGACTGAACGGTACTCGGCTGATGCTGGAGCCACTGCCGGACTTGTTGCCCGACCTATTGGCGCTGCTACGACGACTGTGCCCCGGTATATATAAAATATTCAATATTTATTCTATAATGTTATTTATTTGCAATGAATAGGAAGTCCACTGAGCCGGTTACCACGCGTTTCCTCGATGTAAACCTTCTTAAAAAATAAATTTTATTTTCTGAAGCTCCGCTAGAATTGTGTTGCACAAGCAATTATTTTTATTCTTATAACTTTAGTTAAGATTTACAAATGTCCTTATGTATTATATATCATTCGATTACATATTTTTATTAAATGTATAATATATTTAAAAAAAAGTTACTTGCCGATGAGCATCACATTCGTGGAAATAATAATATAAAAACAAAACTTAAAGCAGGATCTGATTTGGAAAATTCGAAAGAAAATGAGCAGCTGTTGAAGCGACTCGAAGACGAAATCGAGTGGCTGCGGCGTGAGCCCCCTGCTCCCGAACTTGTGAGTACAGAACTAGCTTCCCATGCTAACCTCACGTCACACACCTCACTCCACGCCCCTTACGATGAGTTCCTCACAAAGTACCTCGCGTCATACATCTCACGCAGCGCGAGCCGCAGTGCGAACTTCACACCACGCATCTCAAGCTGCAACCCCTATTCTTTCATTTATATATGTGTGTTTATTTCTAACCTAACCACTTTAGGGTGTGGTTGAGCCTGAATATACAATACGAAAGACACAAGGGCTGTGAACAACGAATGCTTTATTAGAAGATTATCGTATGTTTGTTTTTTTGAACCAGCCTAATCCTTTACATGGTTTAAATCTGTGAATGTTTTCTGGTGGTGCGGCGGCAGGAGGCGCGCGCCCCGCACGCTCTACGCTGTCCGCTAACACACGCGCTGCTCCGCGAGCCCGTGCGCGCTGCTGACGGTTTCACTTACGAACGTACAAACATACTGGACTTTTTCTCCGTCAATGGTTAGTGGCTTGTATTTATTTTAATATAAAGTTGTTATTATAATATTACATATACGCTGGATTATAATTATTATATTAATTTAATAAGTAATACATAACAATACATTAACCAGAACCTAAAACATTAACAGAACTACAAACAGAGCATGCTTGAGAAATCTACCTGAAGCGGACTGATTGTTCTCAACTGATGAATATTTTGACGGGAATTTAGATGATGTGTGCGGGCATATCATAGGGTACATACATGTGTTTAAATTTTGCGTGGACAAACTCGCGAGCCAAATCAAGAAGGCAGCGTGTGACAGAAGCGGCCGTGTCGCCGCTGACTGGCCGGCGACTGCGCAGCGCGGAACTGTCGCCCAACTTCGCGCTGCGTCGGCAACTGCGCGACTTCCTGTACACGCCTCCCGCGACCGACGCGAGCGGACCCGAGCTGCCCCGAGCTGCCCCGAGCTGCCGCGAGCTGCCGCGAGCTGCCCCGAGCTGCCCCGAGCTGCCCCGATCTGCTCCGACCTGCTCCGAACTGATGCGAGCCGACTAGCAGTCCACCACAATAAAAATTGATTCACTTTTATATTACATTATATATTATGTTCACATTGAAAAAAAAATTATTTTCAATACTTTTGTCTTATATGCCAAAAGCTAGAGTTGTTCAATAAATAGGTATGTTTTTTTGCAAAATTAACATGTATTTAAAAAAAAAGCGTCTTGTCTTGACAGACAGACAGACAGACAGACGGACAACAAAGTAAACCTATAAGGGTTCCGTTTTTTCCTTTCGAGGTACGGAACAGTAAAAAAAGTATGATTTTATTTTCTTGTACAAGACTTCGCCAATGTATCTGTATAATGATTACCCTCATAATAAGTCTGTCTTTATTACATTACTCAGTCCGCTGGCACATCGATACAAGGTGGGTCTTGGCCTCCGACACAAGAAATCGCCAAAGTCTTGAGCCTTCTCCTGCTAGTCCATCCCTTGCAGCTCCCGCAGATCCAGCTCTACGGCGTCTCGCCAGCGGTACCAGGCTCGGACCGTTGGGTCTGTAATACATTGGTATCGAATAAAATAGTATAACAGCAATCAAACAATAATTAGGTTTTTTTTTAATATTTTTTTACTTCGATATTGATTTGTAAATTTTTTATATTTTCTATATACTGTTAATTTTGTTAAGTTGTTTGTATAGAAAAAGTAGACAATCATTTTGTTTTTCATAAAAACGAATTCTCTGTATAATATTTCCTGCAAATTCCAAGTGAACGGTTTCGGCAAAAGGATTCGCTGCCTACTTTCTGTATCTGTGGAGTATCTGTCGCAAAGTCTGTCGCTGACTTCGAACAACAAACTGTGCAGAGTTTGTTGTTCGAAGTCATTTTATTGTAAGCTACATGTAAAGTGTATGCGCACACAATGATATTGCATAGAAATGCCCTCCAATAAATGATTCAACGTGAGTCCTATAACTGTAATGAGAAGTCGCTACTATATCAACAATATCACGAGCAAGTATCTGCCTATATTTTAATTTAATTGATAAGGCAGAGAGGGCAAGGACGCGGACGTGATATGTGCATGTTCAGTCAGAACGGGCGGCATGAGCGTGAATACTAGTGGTATTGGTGGTATTAAGTCTTATGATAGGATTAAGCGTTATTAATTAGATTTTTAATTTATCGCAAGACAATTAGATTAGATAGTAATTTTTCAGTATAGAAACTTTTAACGTTACGGCAGAAGTTGCACCGACAGTGCATCCGACAGTTTATCAGCATGCCGTTGCGAAAGATGACATCTTTCGGCTTGCTGCTAGCGCTGGTGGGGGCGCGGCTAACGTGCGCCGACCTTTACCACCCCGACAGAGAGGCTCCTCGTGCCGCAGTAACACTTAATTCTAATCCAGCGGAGATGACCGCGAACTACTGGATGGATGAGGCGCAGGCCGCGATACGGGCGAGGAAAGCTCGCTTACGGGACGCCGCCGCAGAACACACCGCGCGTAACGTCGTCATGTTCCTCGGCGACGGCATGTCCGTCACTACGCTGGCGGCGGCGCGCACGCTGCTCGGTCAGCGCCAGGGCCGCACCGGGGAGGAGTCTCAACTCGCATTTGAAACATTTCCTACCGTTGGCTTGACTAAAGTAAATATACGAAATGAATAAATTATTCTATATATCGAGTGAAGACAATCTATAATATAATTTTTGTTTCAAGACTTATTGCGTGGACACACAAATTGCAGACTCCGCGTGCTCAGCGACAGCGTATCTATGTGGCGCCAAGGCCAACCGTGGCACATTGGGTCTGACGGCGGCCGTGCCGCGGCGGGACTGCGCCGCCGCTTCTGAGCCCTCAGCGCATCTCGACTCTATCGCCGCCTGGGCACTCGCCGATGGACGAGACGCAGGTTGTTTCCTATTACAACTTGTATTAGTTATTCTACTAATCGAATGAATTCATTAAAAAAATAATGAATATAGCATATATTTCGTATATTTAGAATTATTTTTGAAATACAAGTAAACATCCAGTTATGATAACAACAGTGGAGTTTGTAGTTGTGCTGCAAACGCCAGACGCTACCGTAAACACGACGCTAGCGCAGCGATAACGTGACTCTGACCGCCGGCAGGAATAGTGACGACGACAAGAGTGACGCACGCGTCTCCAGCGGCGACGTACGCCCGAGCCGCGAACCGCAACTGGGAAAACGATGGAAGCGTACGGAGTAATAATCAGGATCCGAATATCTGTAGAGACATTGCCCACCAACTTGTTCATTCTTATCCTGGAAATCAATTCAAGGTATCTGCTTTACTCGCCATCTTCTTAATGATAGGTTTGTACTATACATAATTCAAACAATAGATGCAACGCGGAGTAGACAACGCGAAGGCCGAGCGCGACTGATTTCACAAATATTTTACTAGACGGGATTTCACAGCAAACTGATTTTAATAATTGTAGACCGGCTCGTGATATGTCAGTTCGTGTGTGGCAGGAAATAAATCACAAGGAGGTATATTTTTTTTTCTATCCTGGTGAAGTCTGGTGGGTTGCTAGTTAATAAATAACATTATTTTCTAGGTAATTTTAGGCGGCGGTAGACGTGAATTTATACCTACTTCAAGTATTGACGAAGAAGGAACCCCCGGTCGTAGAACTGATGGACGTAATCTCATTGAAGAATGGCAAATAGATAAAATATCACGCAATGTAACGTATCAATATGTGTGGAATCGTAGCCAGCTGGCGAGCGCCGCGCGGAACATTCCTGACTATCTTTTAGGACTCTTCGAGGGGAGCCATTTGCAGTACAATATGCAAGCCGATGCGGCCTCGGAGCCAACGCTCAGTGAACTGACCGAGGTGGCAATTCGTTCGCTCAGCCGCAACGAAAAAGGGTTCTTCCTGTTCGTGGAGGGTGGGCGCATCGACCACGCGCACCATGCAAATCGGCCGCAGTTGGCGCTAGATGAGACGCTAGAGATGAGCGCAGCCGTGGCTCGCGCCGCCGAGCTGCTTTCCGACGACGACTCCTTGATCGTCGTGACGGCAGACCACGCTCACGTCATGACACTCAACGGGTACTCGCCGCGCGGCACCGACATCCTCGGGCCCTCCAACGACCGTGACGAGGCGGGCGTGCCCTACATGACGCTCTCGTATTCCAATGGACCCGGTTTTCGCTCGCACCATAATGTCACCAGACCTGATGTGACGACAGAATCCAATTTTAGTACGTATCACCGAATATTTTCGTCTGGAATTATTTCGACTGATAAAGTAAATAGGAACTTAATAATTATAGCGGCGTCTTTCTGTTTTTAGGAGCGTTATCTTGGAGGTCTCACGTGGACGTACCGCTCGCGTCGGAGACGCACGGCGGCGAGGACGTGGCGGTGTTTGCGCGCGGGCCGCAGCACGCCATGTTCGCGGGCCTGTATGAGCAGAGCCAGCTGCCGCACCTGATGGCCTACGCCGCCTGCATCGGCCCCGGCCTGCACGCCTGCAGCGCCGCCGCCCTTTGCTCCATTTCAATGCCTTTGTTAACCATAACATTTCTTCTTCTTTATAAATTATTAGCTGTGCCCGCGACTTCGTTTTAAATACTGTCTTTGGGTAGCATTTTATTTAGTTGGGCTACATATTTTACCAACACTTACAATACATAACGATAAAACATATTAAAGTCACAAAAAAAATTTACATAAACCTCATATATATGTACATAATCATCTCCTATTATTATTTTGCTCAATTGTAAAAATTACCCGATTACTTTGACATTTATAATATTAGTAAATGGTTGAAATTACTTCAGAAAATGTTAATAAATATAAGAGTAGTTTTAAAATAAAATGTTTTTAATCAATCCATAATAATGTGTTACTGTGGAAAACATTTATCTCCACAACAAACAATTTCTTTTCTTTTAAATTAACAAATCAAATCTTTCTTTTTTTTATCAATATCCACAATATGCAAAATGCGACTGCGTAGATGCTGTTCATTAATTAGAAAAATGGCTATTTCAAAAAAAAAAAAATTAAAGAAAAAATTCACGAGTTGGATGAGCACAAGGCAAATCTACAGTCCGCAGCAGCATTCAATAATGGCCCACTCGAACGGTGCAAAACCACGACCACACAGAACGCAGGCTTCGAGTAGAAGTATTTCCACTTTTTGTCGGGTGCAACTTCGAGCCCGAGTTTAATTTGTAATCTTCTTCTTACCTTTTTATTATGAGAGAAGGTAGTGTGGATATGGCTGGTTAGGGCAAGAGCGGGAAGTGAAAATTGTTGTAGTTTTTTCCATTTCCGAAAGGTTGAAAGTTAAATAAAATGTAGTCACATCTTTATGTGTATATTGCAAAATTATATACTTTATTGTAACAAATTAACTGAGAATCTTTCCTCATCGCTTTATCATATTGAGCAAAGCGATCGCTGTGAGTAGCGCCGGAGCCAAGAGATGCGTGGCGGCAGCGCTGCAAGCGTGCAGGCCAGGACCGATGCAGGCGGCGTAGGCCATCAGGTGCGGCAGCTGGCTCTGCTCATACAGCCCCGCGAACATGGCGTGCTGCGGCCCGCGCGCAAATACCGCCACGTCCTCGCCGCCGTGCGTCTCCGACGCGAGTGGCACGTCCACGTGGCTCATCCAATCGACTCGCCCTGGAAATTAGCATTATTGGAAATCCCGACATAGTTAGCCGTGTAACGGTTATATGTGTGAGCTGCAGCTACTTACTATAATTAGTCTCAGTGGTAACGTCGACTCGCGTGCCGTTGACGTGCGGCCTGAAGCCAGGCCCGTTGCTATAGGAGAGCGTCATGTAGGGCACGCCCGCCTCGTCGCGGTCGTTAGAGGGTCCCAGGATGTCGGTGCCGCGCGGCGAGTACCCGTTGAGCGTCATGACGTGAGCATGGTCTGCCGTCACGACGATCAGGGAGTCGTCCTCAGAGAGCAGCTCGGCGGCACGCGCCACAGCCGCGCTCATCTCCAACGTCTCGTCCAGCGCCAGCTCCACCAGGTTATCATGGTGGGCGTGGTCAATTCGCCCACCTTCCACGAACAGGAAAAAACCTTTTTCATTACGACTCAAGGAGCGAATCGCAATTTCAGTTAATTCAGCGAGAGTGGGTTCGGTGCGGTTGTCGGCCTCCAAGTTATACTGCATGTGACTTCCTTCGAATAGCCCCAGAAGGTAGTCGGGCAGGTCCTCGGCTGCGCTCAATAACTGCTCTCGATTCCACACGTACTGGTAGGTGACGTTGCGCCCCATTTTTTCTCGCTGCCACTCTTCTATCAAATTTCTGTCGTCGGTACGGCGGCCACGTGTACCCTCCTCGTCAACACTCGATGTAGGTAAAAATTCTCTTCGTCCACCACCCAAAACGACCTGTACATTATTATTATACATGATTTAAAACTCTATTGGATTAAATTAAAAATTGAAAGGATTGATACCTAAGTACTGATTCCTTGATAGCTTTAAATTTTTGTTTATGTACTCGTATATGTATACAATTTGTGAAAGCAACTTCACTGACTATATCTATAGCACTCTGGACAAGAATACGAATGGAACGTCTATTTTACGTTCCGAAATTGGTTTTTAGTTTCAGCAAAAAATGGACAAAATTGAATTGATACGCATTCTTTTACAATAAAATTCTAATTATTATAAGATCCGGTCGGAGTAGGGGGACAGCGCACATGTGAAAATGTAAGTGTTTACCTTTAGCTGATTACCAGGAAATGAATGTACGAGTTGATGGGCGATGTCCCGGCACAGCGCGGGATCCTGGCCGTCCTGGCGCACGTTGGCGTCGCTCTCCCAGTTGCGGTTGGCCGCGCGCGCATACACTCCGGCCGGCGAGGCGTGCGTCACTCGCGTCGTCGTCACAATACCTACCGAATTCATTTTAATATTAAAACTCAATCTTTATCAGTACGAATGGGACGCGATGTACAACTCAGAATCTAAACTTCTTTCACCATTGTGTTCATTTTATATTTTTTTTAGTATGTTGTGACAAAAGAGCAAGCGGCCTCTTGATATAGTTAAAAAAGCCAAATGCCCGCTGCCCATGCACATTATCAACAATTGTCGATCCCCTGCCTACTGTAGCAAAAAGTATGTAGGTCCCGACATTACCGAATCCAATTCCCCTTCGCATCTTATCCTTATCCTTATGGAATGAATTACGCGTACATGACAGTACCGACATGCGTACTCCTCAGAGGTAACGAGGTATTACTTCCATTTTATATCTTCTATGTGATCCTGGTATTTCGCCGGTCAAGCCCATTCGTGTAACAGCTGTTGTTAGCAATTATTAAAATCTTAAGCATCGTCACTATTTGATGTGCTGTGACGTACAACTGTAGCGGTAATTGAAATCGCTGGTAACTGTCTGTTTCTTTATTAAGAGTTTTTATTGATTCGCTAAAATTGTGATAAGCTAATCGAATTCCAATTTGCTTAGATTCTTATACCTAACTAAAAATATAGGGTGTTTAAGAACACGACTCTTTAGGAGAAGCCATAGTAGGGTGCTGCTAGTTAACGGCAGGAAAAATAAAGTCAGCGATGGGGTACCAGCGTCGCGGCCGGCGGCAAGCGCCCAGGCGGCGATGGATTCGAGGTGCGTTGCGGGCTCAGTGGCGGCGGCGCAGTCCCGTCTCGGCACGGCCGCCGTCAGGCCCAGCATGCCGTTGTTGTTCTTCACGCCGCACAGGTACGCCGTCGCAGTGCACGCAGAGTCCGCGATTTGGGAGTTCACGCAGTATGTCTATGGATAATAACTATAAACTGAGATATCGCTTTGTAAATACCATTCTCTGCTGGAATTATCAAAGTCAGTTTTAACAGTGGTAGAGCCCGCTATAACATCTTCCTGGCACAAACAGTAACAGCGGCCTGGCTCGCTCTCTGAAATACCACTACCACACAGAAGACAGGCGTGAAGTGGAAACAATTCCGCGTTTCGTCTGATGAGTGTGCGTACCGGAGGTCTTATTTAGTCCTCTTTCCCTTCCCACCCTTTTTCTTATAAGGAAACGATGGGAAGTGGAAGTAGACTCTTCGGATGAGAGGATGCATGGAGAGGGAAGATATTTTCTTTCTGTGCATCCTCTCCTCCGTCGATTAAAGGTAGGCAACGCATATGCAATTGCGTATGTCTATGGGCAACGATCACTTCGCTATTTCAGCGATTTGAGGTGGCCGCTCGCTCGTTTGCCACCTTATGACATAAAAAGAAAGTCATCATTATACCTAATAAGTATGCAAAAGTAAATTTTCGTCAACCATGTGAAAACTAATGAAAGTTTGACATCGTCTTAAGTATGAGCAATCAAAGCAAAACCATCACCATGATGATAGAAGTCACATTTTTGTATAACATCAAAGCTTTCTAGTTTTATTTACTAAGAATAACAAACTAGACTAAAGCTTCATTTATATTATTTGAGGTCATTATAAAATTACATGTATTATGTTTCATAATTACGACATTTTGTTTCTTGCTGTCTATAATATTAGAACTACAAAAAGAAACTTGCAAAAAAATTAAAGACCAAATCGCGCAAAACCCATCATTGCATTTATGCCCAAGCAACAGCTTGCGTTTTACTATACATATATAAAATTAACCTTGGTCAAGCCAACGGTAGGAAAAGTTTCAAATGCAAGTTGAGACTCCTCCCCGGTGCGGCCCTGGCGCTGACCGAGCAGCGTGCGCGCCGCCGCCAGCGTAGTGACGGACATGCCGTCGCCGAGGAACATGACGACGTTGCGCGCGGTGTGTTCTACGGCGGAGGCGCGCGCACCACGCTGACGTGCAAGAATACCCGCCTGCGCCTCCTGCACCCAGTGCTGTGCCGTCAGCTCGGCACGGTCGGGCAATGGTCGCACAGAGGGAACAGGCGCCGCGCGCTCGGGGTGGTAGCGGTCGTCTGCCGCGGCCGCCGCTAACGCCGTCAAGACTAGCACGGACCGAAAGTGCAGGTGCGACCGCATTGTAAAGGCTTTCCAACCCCACTGACTGACGATGATTAACTTTAGTAACTCTTATTACCATAGCTATTATCTAATCTAATCAAACAATATATACCTTTAATTTTATTAAAATGTCAAATATTTAATTTTACAATGTATGTACATATGAATACGTTTATAATCAGAAAGTCGACGACGCGTGTTTAATGCGATTCGAAATGTGACGCGGTTCTTGTCACGGTGGAAGAGATCAAGTAAGGTCTGGTGACAGTCTTTGCCGCCTGCATTCAATATTGGGTTAAAAGGGACAATGTCTTAAAATTCCTTTTAAAAAACCCTTCCGGTCGATGTCCCGTTCATTAAGTGGTAAAATCCTTGTGCCCAGGCTGCGCTCGCCTTGCAAACTATTTGTCAGATATAAATAAATTCTGTAAAAAGCAATTGTAATTAACATATTCTACAAAATTCTACTGATATTTACATTATATTCTACTTATAAACATTTGTTTAAAATTGAATAAAGCTTAAACGTGTAATTTTGTCGCATTTTCTGAAGCAAAAGTGGTTTTTGTGCGAAAACAATATAAAATAGTAAGATATGCCATCACTGACTTTTTTGTGGCTCTCGAGATGGCATTTCTATCAAATATTATTTTTATATAACGGTTAAGTCTAGATAAGAAAAAAAGGCAAATTTAAGGGAATCAAAAAAGGCTGTTTATTGATGTTATTCCGTGTCAGTGGAGCTTTATAATGACAAAATAATTTTTAAAATTGGTTCTGTAGTTTTTTTACTTTATTCGTTACAGCAAATTAATTAAAAAAAAACAAAATACTCGATTAATCGAAGCTGATAGTTGAAATAGCGCTATCTTTTGTCTGCGTTTGAAAAAAAGATTTAAATTTTTAATTTAATTCAAAGAAACTATAATAAACACCGTTAAAAAGATGTAGTAAAGAAAAAATGATCATACGGAGTGAGGATTGAAGTGGATAACTTTCAAACGTTACTCCTCGAAATCGATTCGGTGGTTTAGGCTTTACATACACAATAAGATATATGCGCGGGGAAAACATTATCATCTTTGTCAGTTGTCAGTAGGTAGCAGGTAAAAATCTTTCCCCTCTATGATATTATAAAACAAATATTTAACTAATGGCATATTTATTTTAGAATGCAGTATTTTTCTCTTTCTCTTTATTGTTTTAAAGACTTTCGTTCTTTTGAACATGTCAGTCCCATAACAAAGAATGCAGTCTTCTCATTGGTCCTTTGAGTACGGTCAGCAGGTCATTATCGGAGCCCGTAATGTAATATGTACAAGTAGGTATTTGTATGCACATGTATCTGATCCTCTGTGACCAGCCGCAACTTGAGCGCCGCAACTTGTTTCATATTTCATGACTTGTAAAGCTAATACTTTGCATGAGAACTCATTACAATATGTTAAACAGGTCAATACATGAAATTAAAAAAAATCCCATCCTATGCATACAAAGTTTTTGTAAAGCAATTAATAACTGTTATAATAATTAAAAATAACTATCTTAAACGAGGTATTCTGAAGAGAATGTTATAAAAATTCGAAACTTTTTTAATTCTTTAACTTAAATTTTACATCAATTTCGATAAAAATAAAAAAGCTATTGCTGTTAGAACCGCCGGAGCCAAGAGATGCGTGGCGGCAGCGCTGCAAGCGTGCAGGCCGGGGCCGATGCAGGCGGCGTAGGCCATCAGGTGCGGTAGCTGGCTCTGCTCATACAGCCCTGCGAACATGGCGTGCTGCGGCCCGCGCGCAAACACCGCCACGTCCTCGCCGCCGTGCGTCTCCGACTCGAGCGGTACGTCTACGTGGCTCATCCAATCGACTCGCCCTGGAAATTAGCATTATTGGAAATTCCGACATAGTTAACCGTGTAACGGTTATTAAATATGTGTGAGCTGCAGCTTCTTACTGTAATTAGTCTCAGTGGTAACGTCGACTCGCGTGCCGTTGACGTGCGGCCTGAAGCCAGGCCCGTTGCTATAGGAGAGCGTCATGTAGGGCACGCCCGCCTCGTCGCGGTCGTTAGAGGGCCCGAGGATGTCGGTGCCGCGCGGCGAGTACCCGTTGAGTGTCATGACGTGAGCATGGTCTGCCGTCACGACGATCAGGGAGTCGTCCTCAGAGAGCAGCTCGGCGGCACGCGCCACAGCCGCGCTCATCTCCAACGTCTCGTCCAGCGCCAGCTCTACCAGGTTATCATGGTGGGCGTGGTCGATTCGCCCACCTTCCACGAACAGGAAAAACCCTTTTCCATTACGACTCAACGAGCGAATCGCAACTTCTGTGAGTTCAGCGAGTGTCGGCTCTGTTGCAGAATCGGCTTCTAGATGGTACTGCAGGTGATCACCTTCGAACAATCCTAAGAGATACTCTGGCAAAGATTCTGCAACATTCATTAGTTGATTGCGGTTCCATACGTAACCGTAGGATACATTTCTCGCCCTCTTATCCGCTTGCCATTCTTCAATCAAATTACGGCCGTCCGTTCTTCTCCCTACAGTACCTTCCTCATCAACACTAGAAGTGGGCAAAAATTCTCGTCTTCCTCCACCCAAAATTACCTGTAAAGTTTAAGGGGCACTGTGCATCATTTTTCTAAAGTAAATACTAAATACTGAAGAGAGTTATTCAGGAGAAAAGTCCACATGTCCGCAATAACACAAATCTTACTTTAAAAAGATTTCCAGGATATGAATTCACCAGCTGTTGTGCAATGTCAGGACACAAGTTCGGATCCTGATTGTCTTTAAGAATTTCAGCATCATTTTCCCAATGACGGTTTGCAACTTTGGCGAATGCTCCAGCGGGCGAGGCGTGAGTAACTCGCGTCGTCGTCACTACACCTGTGAATATTAAAATAGTGTCTTTAAGGATAGCTATTGTTTTATTCTTACCGATTAATGTTCACAGATTCTGGAAATGTTCAATTTAATCTCTTCATAAATACCGGCATCTCGTCCGTCATCGAGAGCCCATGCCGCTATAGAGTTGAGGCGCGCTGCTTCTTGCAGCGAAGCTGCGCAATCGTAGCGCGGCACAGCCCCAGACAAGCCTATGGTGCCCCGGTTGGCTTTAACGCCGCACAAGTAAGCAGTGGCCGTGCAGGACGAATCAGCTATTTGTCCATTTATACAGTAGGTCTAGAATCAAATCCACACTATAGGCATAATCACATTCCAACAAAGCAAAAAACTATTTCAAAAACCTCGACAGTTAAAACCTTCGTTAATCCCACAGTAGGAAAAGTTTCAAATGCGAGTTGAGACTCTTCCCCGGTGCGGCCCTGGCGCTGTCCGAGCAGCGTGCGCGCCGCCGCCAGCGTAGTGATGGACATGCCGTCGCCGAGGAACATGACGATGTTACGCGCGGTGTGTTCTGCGGTGGAGGCGCGCGCGCCACGCTGGCGGGCACGGATGCCCGCCTGTGCTTCCTCTGTCCAGTGCTGCGCGGTGTACTCAGCCGCGTCGGGCGCCGCCACTTGCCGCGCCGCTGCGGCTCGCCATGAAGGTCTCTCGGGATGATATCTGTCGCCATTGCCTATAGCTATCAGGCAGACGATGTACCACAGTACTGTAGTCGAGTGCCACATGGTAAACCACGTTGTATTACAATGTCGACTCCTTTTGAAGTCACTTATTATGACATATAAATGATATCTAATCGTATGGAAACTGCGATGGACTTTATCAACAAAAAATAAATAACCATTTTATTACAGTCGCGATGTACACGCATGATAGATCCGTGTTCCATATGAATCTCAAGTCAATATGAAGATATGGCATCACGTGTTCTAAGATTGATGAAATATTATTGTGCGGTTTATTGTATTTTTAACTTGACAGCAGCAGCCATTTAACGTGGTTGTTTTATTCCAGTAGTATGTAAATAATTTAATGTTAGAAAAAGCATTAAAAAACAACAATATAACTTTAAAGGTTGTGTATTGTTTTTGTTTATAATTTCGACAAGCGTTGCGTCACTTGAATATACAGAATGAAGAATAGAGAATGTACAATATTAAATAGTTGTACACAAGTCACAATCGTGATTGGAAATCGATAGTTTTCCTATTATGACAACTTCCTTTATCTATTTATCATTTCATCGAGATATTATCAGAGCGACAAATGACAGGTGACAGGTGACAGGTGATAGGAGACAGGCAAGGGCGAGGGCGAGGGCGAGGGCGGGATGCTGCGCAGTTCCGCGTACTGAGACATCGCGACCACACTTAGGCAGGCGTTACATCTGAGTGGTTCGAGCCATGTTGCGGTTTAGGTTTTATTCATTTTGTATAATTTTGTGTGTGGTTACAATATGCCCTAGTTCAGGTAAATTAAGGCTGTTCATTTTATATTATATTTAAAACCATTACTTGATACATAATATGTAACAAACGCGAACATGTATAAATAATACCACTAGCTTTGAAACAACTCCGCCGCCCGCCACTCGCTTTATGAGAAATTACAAAAAACTTAATTACTAGCGTGTGTGCGCGTGTGTATTCTTCCGGATTCTATATCCTATGTCTCGCTTTGGCATAGATGTAGAACACATCTATGCCAAAGCAAGGTCACTTTAGCAGTTCTGGAGTTACCTTCTATCAAATATTCATCCATCCATCAGTCTAAACTGAATAAGAATTAACATTTGCTTTGATTTCGGGTTGCAGGGTCCGACGAATATCATAATGTTGGAAAGAACAAGCGACTTGAGGAGAAGGGTCCACGGGCCGCGGCCGAGGGGCCGGAGCGCACGGCGCAGTACTGGACGTCGGAGGCGCAGGAGGGGCTTCGGGTGCGCCGAGCGCGGCTGGCCGGTGCAGGCGGGGCGGGCAGCGGGCGGGCGCGCAACGTCGTCATGTTCCTCGGCGATGGCATGTCGTTGGCGACGCTAGCGGCGGCGCGCACACTGCTCGGCCAGCGTGAAGGGCGCACAGGAGAGGAGTCCCAGCTCTCTTTTGAACAATTTCCCACCGTAGGTCTCGCTAAGGTAAGTAAGATTGATCTTCACTTTATCAGATGATAAATCAGTAGAAATTCAATAATAAACAAGCCAATAAATATACCTAATAAGCTATTTGTGATTATTATATTTATATTTGTAACCTTTGAACTGCGAAATTATAAGCCAAAACGTAGGTACCTTTTTATAGAAAAACTTGATGTACTAAGAACGTAGTTACAATTATTGTCAAATTATTAAATTTTACTATTTTATAATATTTTACAAATTTTATGGAATGGAAGTACGCGGTATATAGATATATTGTATGAAGAAGTTGTGTCGGTGTTGTGCAGACGTACTGCGTGGACGCGCAAGTGGCGGATTCCGCGTGCTCGGCGACGGCGTACCTGTGCGGCGTCAAGGCCAACCTGGGCACGCTGGGTCTGACGGGCGCTGCACCGCGCGGAGTGTGCGACGTCGCCCCGCCTGCGCACCGCTTGAGCTCCATCGCCGCCTGGGCACTCAGCGACGGCAGGGACGCCGGTACTTTCTCCACAAATTTATTCATTTAATTCTACTTATTATTAATAAAGAATGAGAATTCCAGGGGTTCTTTATGAACAACATCTATGTATGGGGTCATATTTTTAGAAGTCTAAACAATGGTTTTTATTAATAAGCCTTTTCCAAGTTAGTGGTCTCTATTATATAAATATTGAAGTCGAGACCGATATCAAAAGGCGGTTGAAGCGATGGCGCCTTCTCGTTTCAGCTTTTACTAATTTTTTTACTGTCGAAATACATTAAAATTCTAAAGTTCCCTAAGTCTACATAATTGTATATAGGCATAGTTACGACGACGAGGGTGACGCACGCGTCGCCGGCGGGCGCGTACGCCCACAGCGCCGACCGCGACTGGGAGAGCGACGCCGACGTGAGCGCCGACTGCGAGAGGGCGAGCACGCGCGGCGCGAGAGGTGGCGATTTGCAGCGGGACATCGCGCACCAGCTCGTGCACTCCTACCCTGGCAACCGTTTCAAGGCAATTCATACATTTTTATTAGACAAGGACATCCGCACAGGCACATGAGATGTAGACGCCAGTCCAGTCGGCTTAAAAAAATATGAAGAGAGGAAAGTAAAGGTATTTGATGTAAAGTGCCTCGCGAGATTAACGAGTGCAGCCGACATCATTGTGCTAGCAGTCGTTGGTGAGGTCGCACTTCTCCTGTCAGCCGGCCCATTGGTGGATGAGCCATGTCTTGTGCGTGGCTCGGCCATAGCGTTATTATTACGAATATTTATTAAATAAATAAATCAGTTTTAATCACACAATCAATTTATCGCTTAGTATTGTCTAAAAATAAATTTGTTATTCATTTATTCAACTGGTGGAACTTGCACTTTTAATATAATCAAATTGCACCTTTATTTTTACGAACAACTTGGACGAAAAAATCTGAGAGCAGTTCGATATTTCCGAAAGTTGTTTGAGTGTTGAACGTTGCGAGATGACTTGGGAAGATGATATTATTAAATGAAAAAGTTATTATTTTATAGGTTATTCTGGGCGGAGGGAGGCGGGAGTTCCTGCCCGCCACGTTCACCGACGAGGAGGGTGCCCCCGGGCGGCGGCTCGATGGCGAGGACCTGATAGAGCAGTGGCGACAGGACAAGGTGTCTCGCAACGTAAGCCACCGCTACGTGTGGCAGCGCTCGCAGCTGATGGAGGCCGCCGCCGCGCCTCCCGACTACCTGCTCGGCCTGTTCGAGAGCAGCCACATGCAGTACAACATGCTCGCCAACAAGACCACGGAACCCACGCTCGCCGAGCTCACGGAGGTCGCCATCAAATCTCTCAGTAGAAACGAGAAAGGATTTTTCCTCTTCGTGGAGGGCGGGCGCATTGACCACGCGCACCACGACAACTTGGTGCAGCTGGCGTTGGACGAGACGCTGCAGCTGAGCGCGGCTGTGGCGCGCGCCGCCGAACTGCTGCCCGAGGAGGACTCGCTGCTCGTTGTGACGGCGGATCACGCACACGTCATGACATACAACGGGTACACGCGCCGTGGCGGCGATGTGCTCGGGCTCTCGGATGATCTGGGCGACGACGGTTTGCCTTACATGACGCTGTCGTATGCCAATGGCCCCGGCTACCGCGCGCCGGTAGACGACGGCGGCCGCAAGGACGTTACGCAGGATGACTATCGTGAGTACTAGAATGAACACGTATGCATATTTATTCGTAAAGATATTTTTTTCATAAAGGAAGGTGATCAAACAAGCAATCGACCACCTGACTTTGCTAAAATAGTGTGAAATGAACAAGAAACTTGTTGCAGTGAGTGAAATCCAAGCAATCGATATATAGGTTTAAATTATGTCGTTTGGTGTGTGGAACAGACTCGGCGGAATTTGTGGCGCCGGCCGGCGTACCGCTCGCGTCGGAGACGCATGGAGGCGAGGACGTGGCGGTGTTCGCGCGCGGGCCGCAGCACGCCATGTTCGCGGGGCTGTATGAACAGAGCCAGCTGCCGCACCTGATGGCCTACGCCGCCTGCATCGGCCCCGGCCTGCACGCCTGCGACTGAACCTCACCGCGATCCGAAGCACTATTTGCAATAAACCTTACGTTAACGTTCAAATGTATTATTTCTTGTAGTAGGTTTCCACTGTGCGAGCATCGCCGAACGGTGGTGAACCGAACTACACACGTTGGCATTAGTCTAGGACGACTCCGACCATCCCGACAACTTCCTTTAACCAAAAAATAAGACAGCCCGATTCACTGCAATCTGCTGATTTGCTGTGAGGCTTTAGATTTTTTAGTTGTAACCCGAAAAACTTTGCTTTTAGGAAACGCTATCTTATAACTTTAACTTCATTTCGTAAGTTAATATGGTAGCGGGCTGTAGCGCGGCGAGGGACCGGAACGCAATGCCAAGGGCACGCACACGAGCGACCTATGTTCGGGATCTACATCGCTGTAGGCAAATAAAATAATTTCAGCCGATAAGGCGACATCAGGCGAGCACGTCACGACGTCACACGACGTCATGGCGCTTCTGGCTTATCGATGCGATCCCGGGCTCGAACATTGATTAAGTATCGTTTATCTGATCGCCGGTGCCAATAATACTTACGTCGATACGATCTTATATCGATTCAATAGTTGTTAGCATGATATTAATTAACTATTAATACGGAGATAAGGCTGTAATCGGCGGTCGCATTATTGAAAGGATTTAAGACGATAAGTCTTACAGCCGAAGCCGGATGTATGCGGTACGTGAGGGCTCGTGCTCGTGTGGTCACACCGACGCCGCTTGCATCTGCCGGCCAGGTGCCTCGCGAAAATATGGCCCCCTGGCCTCAGCCGCGCTCGCGGCGCCTACAACACTTGTACCCATAGAGTTGTAGGTAGTACCTACGTCGAACCTTTGTAGTCCCGTAGGCTTTAATATAGGCGCTTATAATATTCA